AGGACAAACTGACAGCTAAACCTATACTACAACTCCCGGATTTGACCAAACCCTTCATCCTGAGAACCGATACTAGCAACATTGGAGTTGGGGCAAAATTATTACAAGAAGGGAGAGGGGATCCGACAGTCTTGTTTCCTATAGCGTATGCTAGCAGAAAACTCAACAGAGCTGAGATAAATTATTCCACAATTGAGCGGGCTGTTCAAAAATTTCAGCCGTTTTTATATAGTACCCAGTTTAAGGTACAGAGTGATCATCAACCTCTAGTGTATCTAGCAACATCGAAGAAACTAAACACAAGGCTTATGAGTTGGTCGTTGTTACTTCAACCGTACAACTTTACAGTGGAATACATTCCTGGGAAAAGTAATGTTGGAGCGGATTTTCTGAGCCGGCATCCTACGATGGAGGAAGTTTGGTCAGTGTTCAACGATGCAGAAGATATGGACAATGAGTGGAGTGGGGAACATGGTGTCCCACCTTCACGGTAAAAAGTCCAGGATCTGGTACTTTTTTTTAAAGGGGGAGCTTATGTCACGAAATGGCAGTGGTACACCATGGAAAACCACTCTAGTGTGTGGGACATAGCTTGCTCCGACACACCGTACATACCTATCGGCAGTACATGTAAACAAACAACGGCATAATATACACTCAAGTGCAGTACAACGAAAGATCAGATTAGCGTCTACGATATAAGACACTAATAACGTCAATGCACATACCGTCGGGGAATTCCCGAGTGCCGCAAACTAGAAAGGAGCACAGGGATGGCGTCATAAGCAACGATCCTCACTACAGATGATGATGATGTGCGCACCCAGAGCCGATTCGGAGATGTCATGCGCATAGGAGCTAGTTCCGGGGGAAAATCTCACTTCCGCCCTCTTCAACTCTAGTCGCGATTTTTGGAGATTTGTAGTCTTTAACATCTGACACAATCTCGCAAGGTTAAGAGTGTATTTCATTCAGACAAGGGCGTAAGAGATCCTAGAGCTCTATATGGCCTTTTGTACAAGTGTTATCCTTATTTTGATTATATGTACATGTATGTTATAAAGCATTAAAAAGTGTATATTTTGGTTCAGTGCTACCATTATCGATATTTCCTTTTGGGCGCAAGTGCTTAGATTTGGGGGAATCATTTTATTGATATTCTTGAATGGATATTCTTAAGAGTACCCAGGGTAATTGGGGAAATAATGGATCTGTGTAAAATGATTTAGATTTGGGGGAATTATTTGATTGATATTCTGGAATTGATTTTCTTAAGAGTACCCAGGGTAATTGGGGAAATGATGGATCTGTGTAAAATGATTTAGATTAGGATAATTATTTTCTTTCTACTTAAGTAATTTATATTACTAAGGGTACCCAGGGTAATTTAGGAATTAATGAATATGGAGAATGATGTATGCCCATAAACTTGGGAATGTATTTAACCACATGGTGGGAACTATAATTTGGGACTGTATTACACATGGGTGGAACCATAATATGTGAATATATTTACCACATAGTGGGAATTTAACTTGGAAAGATTTAAATGGATTGAACCCCATTGAGGGGGAGTGAAAAATATATATATGGGTGTGTGTGGGTGTATGTATAAATTTGAATTGTCATGATTGTCATAACCAGGGCGGGACTGCTTAACCCAGTCACCTGGTTAATGAAAAAAAAATATAAAATGAGATTCACATATGAAGCGATGGGACCACTCAAATGAATAGAGTTGTCAGAAGCTGAGGTGAATGGAGTTAGTTAAGTATTATGGATAGTAGCCAGGTATTTTAGAGGCACACTCTCACAAGTGGTTGTTTTTGCTCTTGTCTCGTTCCAGCCTGGCTGTGCCACGACATAACCACAACAAAGAAAGTTCTAAATTGGTATTTTAACCACTGTGAGTGGAATTCTAAGGGCTTTGACCCATATTTTTACTATTGGCATCCAAGCCTTGAGGGAAGAATTCCCATTCGTGAGGAGCAACCAGACGGGAGACCAAATCACCAAAGACTTCATCAACAAGATGCATCAGGTAACTGTGTTGCCCGACGAGCCTGAATCTGCCTTCCAAAACTAACTCCTCACCGAGGAAGATAACTTTTATTGTGCCAATCACCTACTAGAATTATAACTATTACATTGTATGATTGTTACCTGTTTACCCACCTCGTCTAGTTTTTGTATATTACGGTGAGAGTGAGCTGGGAGAGAAAGAGTGTGAAAGATACCTTTCTCATCCTTTCCCTACGTATCTTTCTGGGGGCTCATATATCTACTGACAGGAGGGTGTGCGACAGAATATCTAGACTAGCCTGAAGCTTTCTACATCCAGAGCTAGTCTTACCTTTCTGACTCCTGTCACATGACCACATCCCAGTCTTTTATACTACACGGGGCCATCTCCCTAGTTTTCATAACTTCACGAGCCAACATTTCTTGAGACTGTGGACGCTGGCATGCTGTAGGGAAGTCTTAATATTATAGACCTCTCTATTATATCTGCATATCGCCACAGTGTGTGTGTATATATATATATATATATATGTGTGTGTGTGTGTGTGTGTGTGATTTTGCGCACGCTACAGGTGCAATGAAAACAAACAAACCATGGTGGACAGACTACCCAGAAATAAGACACTAATCCACAAATGAAAGTTCAACCTAAATAAAGACATTTTATTTCAAACACACATATGTAGAACCTAAATATGTAGATAGATAAACAGAATCAAACAGCAGAATAATTCAGCTGAAGGTCAGAGGCGAAAAACGGAATGACCAATTAATTCAAACCTGATATTCTGATATATTTAACCCCCCTCTCCATTTTCCTCTAAACAAATATAAAAAAATTACTTAAAACATAAAGACACACTGTGCCAAAATGTAAGGAGATCCCCAGCCTAGGAAGATTAATGCAAATATGAGACTCAGTGAAACATAAGACAAAATAACTAAAAAGTAGCCAAAGCAATTATCTAACTACAGCAACATTTAAAGCAATTAATCAGAGCTGAAGAATGTCTGTTCTCAAACATGCAGCAACACAAACAATAATTAACTTACTGGGCAAGTTAGCCAGGGTGGAGGCAGATCTATAGGCCCTAATATCACTGTCATCCCATGCATAGCGAGGTCTGTCCAGGAACCTAGACGGCGCTGCCAACAGAAAACAAAACATGTCAACAATTGTTTGTTTCCAATCACATATGTCCAGTCAAGGCTTCATTTCCAATCACATATGTCCAGTCAAGGCTTCATTTCCAATCACATATGTCCAGTCATGGCTTCATTTAAAATCACACATGTCCAGTCATGGCTTCATTTTCAATCACATGTGTCCAATCATGGCTTCATTTCCAATCACACATGTCTAGTCATAGCTTCATTTCCAATCACATATGTCCAGTCATGGCTTCATTTCCAATCACATATGTCCAGTCATGGCTTCATTTCCAACCACACATGTCCAGTCATGGCTTCATTTCCAATCACACGTGTCCAGTCATGGCTTCATTTCCAATCACATATGTCCAGTCATGACTTCATTTCCAATCACATGTGTCCAGTCATGGCTTCATTTCCAATCACATGTGTCCAGTCATGACTTCATTTCCAATCACATATGTCCAGTCATGGCTTCATTTCCAATCACATGTGTCCAGTCATGGCTTCATTTCCAATCACATGTGTCCAATCATGGCTTCATTTCCAATCACATATGTCCAGTCATGGCTTCATTTCCAATCATGGCTTCATTTCCAATCACATGTGTCCAATCATGGCTTCATTTCCAATCACATATGTCCAGTCATGGCTTTAGTTCCAATCACATATGTCCAGTCATGGCTTCATTTCATGCAAACATAGCGGCTTTTTACTACTTTTATGTGGTACTTCAAGTTACAACACAGCTAACACACTGAAAATGGGAAAAACCAATCAGAATTTTTACAGCAGATGAGGCTTACAAGTGCATAACAACGACGGGGAGTCTGTGGCAAAGTGGTCAGGCCACTGGCTTTAAATTCTGAAGGTTGTGGGTTCGATTTTAGCTCTGCCCTTCAGTTTGTGAGTGCAAAAGTCTCACAGATCCCAGACAGATGTCACCAGAGCTGCAGAGTTTCATGCTTTGTGCAATACTCTATGCAAGAAAGGCTAATCCTTATGGGATAAACCCTGGTGTACAGAAGTCAAGGCTCTTGCCTTTAAACTCTCTCATCAATAAATATAAAACACAAAAACAGATTTTAAAGCCATTCAGAGGCAAACTTTATGAAAATGTCAACAAGCTCCAGGCGATGGCCGCTTACTTTAAATGAATTCAGGTCAAACACGGATGTGCACAAAGACGATTATGAACAGACTGAGAAGAAACAACATACAATGAGCTACTCACAGGCAAACATTGGCGACTGAAAGCGTGTACGGTATCTCGGTTCAAACTTGGCACTTGGAGCTCTGGAAGCCTTCCATGGATCTAGTGGTTGATGAGGTTTGGCTTTCAGCTTGTCAAGCTCCTTGTAAATTACTTGGCCTATACCACTCTCATCCTTGATTTTTGAGATTTCTTCAAGCTCACGTTTAATTTTGGGATCCTCTTGGATCTCCTCATCATCATCATCATCATCCTTCTCTCCTCTACTTCGTCGACGTTGTCGCACTAGGAGGAAACAACAGCCATCAAAACTGACAAACAGCAAACCTTGTCATACAACAGCAAACCTTGTCATACAAACAGCAAACCTTGTCATACAAACAGTAAATCTTGTCAAATAAACAGTAAATTTTGTCATACAAACAGTAAACCTTGTCATACAAACAGTACGCCCTGTTCTACAAACAGTAAACATTTTCAAACAAACAGTAAACCATTCTAACAAACAGCAAATGTTGACACACAAGCAGTAGATCTTGACACATGAACAAAAAATCTTTTCGCATAAACAGTAAAACTTGTCAAACAACAAATCTTGTCATACAAACAGTAAATCTTGTCATACAAACATCATCATCATGTAGCAGGTCCTTTGCAGAACGTCGCTCTCATCACAGTCTGCCTGAAAGAAACTTAGTCTCTCGCCAGTTCTCCCGCCTCATGTACTTTTATACTCAAGGAATCACTTATATCCTGTGCCCATCTACGTGTCGGTCGGCCCCTGCCCCTCCTTCCTGGTACTTTCTGCTATAATTTTTTTTCAATCCGTTGTGGCGCTTGATATGACCAAAATATTTCAGCTTCCGAGAAAGGATGCTGTTTATTAGCCAATCTTCCCTGATGTTCAGATCTTTCAAGATGTCAATATTTTTTTCTCTTCTTTGTCCAAGATATTCTGAGAATCTTTCTATAGCATTTCATCTCAAAAGCCCCTATTCTCTTTCTTAAGGACAGAGAGATAGTCCACGATTCACATCCGTATGTAGCCACAGGGAAGATGCATGCTCTCAAAATTTTAATTTGTATCTCCTTGCTGGTGCTTAACCATAGACTTTTAAGGCTGTTCAATCTTTGCATTGCTATGGCCATCCTCCTTTTAATTTCTGTTGAACAGTCTCCATTGCTGTTTATTATAGAGCCTAGATATTCAAAGTTTGTGACATTTTCAACTTCTTCATCATTTATTGTTATTTTTGGGTGACAGCCAGTTTTTATCTGTGGACAATATTTTTGTTTTCTTTAAATTCAAGAACAGATTTTGATCTTCACTGTGCTTTTGGACAGACAATATAAAATTTTCAATTCCCTTTACGCTGGTCGAAAGGAGGACTGTGTCATCTGTGTAGTGGAGTTCCGGAATAGGGTTGCCACCAATTTTGAGCGGATCATAACTGTCACAAGTCTGGTCATTTTTGACATTTCTCATTATATTTTCTGAGTAAATAATGAATAGGTATGGTGAGAGAATGCACCCCTGCCTCACTCCTTTTTGCACCTCAAACCAATCAGATGTTTCACCAGCTGCTCTAATGGCTGCTTGTTGTTCATTATAAAGATTTTCAATTAAATTCACTAAATGCGCTAGAAACCCCATACTTTCCTTAACAGTCCAAAGTTGGTGTTAGACACAATCAAATGCCTTGCTATAATCAATAAAACAAGCATGTTGTTGTATTCTCTGCATTTTTTAAAAATTATCCTCATATTAAAGATGTGATCCCTAGTTCCTCTACCCTGTCTAAAACCCGCTTGTGCTTCATCTAGCTCATATTGTATTTTCCTTTCAATCCTTTTCATGTAAAGAGGATTTTGCTAGCATGACTTATTAATGAGATGGTACGGTAGTTGGAGCATAGTTTCAGATTTCCTTTCTTTAGGAGAGGGATATAGACTGTTCTTTTCCACGCTTTAGGCCAAATGCCACTGTTCCAGATCTTCGAGCACAGTGCATGGTAGATTCGGACGCTGGCCTCTCCTCCTGCTTGAAGTAGTTCTGCTGGTATCTCGTCGCAACCTGGTGACTTTCCTTTCTTCAGACTGTGTATTGCCGATCGTACCTCATCCAGTAAAGGCTCTGGTTTTTTTTCCATAATTTTCACAAGTTGTTTTTGAATTACTTGTCACATCCTCATACATTTCTCTACAGTATTCTTTCCATCGTTCTAATATGTCTTTGGTTTCCGTTAACGTGTTACCGTTTTTATCACTTATTACATGAAAAGAAGGCCTGAATTTGCCTTTCAATGTTTTAATTTCTTTAAACATGTCTCAGTCTCTTCCTTGCATCTGGAGTTGGTCAATTCTATTACAGGTATTTAAAATAAACTGTTTTTTTTTATCTCCTCTGATAGCTCTTCTGATTTCTTTCGTGTAGTTCCTATATGCATGGCTATTTCTTTCTGTTCCTACTTGCTTTAAATTTCTTCTTTCTTCTATCAGCTTGAAAGTTTTTTTCTGTAATATAAATCTGTTTCTTGTGTCGTTTTTTTAGAAATCATGTTCTGAGCTATTTGTGATGATGATGTTTCTTGCTTCATCAGCCAACTCATCAGGTGTCATATTCTCCTGCACTGTCATTAAGTGTCTCAAATTTGTTTTCAACCTCAATGCTGTAATCATTTGGCAAATTACTCAAATCAAAACGTGTTGGCTTAGCTGTCATACAAACAGCAAACCTAAAAACAGTAAACCGTATCATGCATTCAGTAAACCATGCCACATAAAACAGTATACTGTATCAGTAAATCTAGTCACACTGACAATTCATTCATTCATTCAGTAGCATGTCCCTCGCGGAACCTCGCTGCCATAACAACCCTCCGGAAAACCTTCCTATCATGAGCAAGATGTCCTGCGTCTGATACACCCATCTGGAGATCATCTGCCACATCCTGCACCCATCTTCTCCTTGGCCTTCCTCTTCCTCTCTTCCCAGGCATATACCCCTCCATTATTGTTCTCTCTAGACCTCCATGACGTTTCAAGTGACCAAAATATTTCAATTTTCTTTGTTTTATTGTCTTTACTAGCCAACCCTCTTCAATATTCAGCTCTTGAAGTATGGATGCATTTGTTCTTTTCTTTACCCAAGATATTCTTAGAACCTGTCTGTAACATTTATATTCAAATGCATTTATGCGCTGTTCCGCTTGTTTAGTAAGTGTCCAGGTCTCACAGGCGTATGTTGCAATGGGAAAGATGCATGCTCTTAAAAATCTGACAATTACAAGTGAAATATATCCATGTTGCAAGGTCATGCTCAGAGTGTAGAGTCTTGTCAGCTTCCCATCATCAGCAAGCCCACAGTGAAAACAGTTTTGTGAAAACCTCTAACTAAATTACCTACAGTATTAATATTTCATGGGCCAATCAGATCTCTCTCAGTCCAGTCAGCAGAAACAGTTACTTAATGAGCCTGCACATTCTGGCTAATTTAATGAAAAATAAGAAGCAGACATAACATGGCCAATACTTTGTGCAAAATAATACAGATCAAGTTAACAATATGAGATCTCTGGACTTACAAATCTCTGGCAGTATAGCAGCAGGTGATGCAGGAGCTGGCCAATCATCTCTCTCTATTTTGTCAGGCTCATTGGGCAGCTTGGGTTTAGCACTTGGGTACATGCTCATGCGGACGGCCTCCTGGTTACGCAGCTCTGCTGGGGATGAGCTGCGGCGCACTTTTACTATACGTTTTTGTCCAGAAGCTAAAAGAAAAAAGCAAGAGATGTCTCACTTCTTTTTCTCAAACATACACAGATGCACACTGTATATGTACATATAAACATCGAAACTTTCTCATTCCATTCTCAGACATGTTAATTTTCATGTATTTTACAGGCTGCTGAAAGTAAACTCATCTGGTTTTGCAACTGCCATCATCTAAAAAACTGACATGTGCAAAACAAAGTAGCTTGCTGAATGGGTTGTTAATTGTTCGACATATACTAGTCCGATAACAACCTACACACCCACAAACATTTATAAACCAAAATATAATCATATTTTCTACCTTCTTTATGGGCAGACGAGAGAAGAAGTGCTACAATTCATTTTTAACAACAACTAATACAATCAAACAATCTTATCATCCCAACTGCTGGTGTCCCCCAAGAGCACACTGCAGTTACTGCTTCCTGCTCAGGAGGCTCATTTCATCAGGTGAAAGTTTATTCTGTAGGATATTCTGACTCCCATCAATCCCAACCTATCTGAGTGAGTATCACAAAAGTAACCACGATTACCAGTAACAGATAAAACAATCAAGGACAACAAAAGTAATCACGATTACCTGTAACATATAAAACAATTAAGGACCACAAAAGTAACCACGATTACCAGTAACAGATAAAACAATCAAGGACAACAAAAGTAACCACAATTACCAGTAACAGATAAAACAATCAAGGATCACAAAAGTAACCACGATTACCAGTAACAGATAAAACAATCAAGGATCACAAAAGTAACCACGATTACCAGTAACAGATAAAACAATCAAGGACAACAAAAGTAACCACGATTACCTGTAACATATATAACAATCAAGGACCACAAAAGTAACCACGATTACCAGTAACAGATAAAACAATCAAGGACAACAAAAGTAACCACAATTACCAGTAACAGATAAAACAATCAAGGATCACAAAAGTAACCACAATTACCTGTAACTTTTAACAATCAAGGACCACAAAAGTAACCACGATTACCAGTAACAGATAAAACAATCAAGGACAACAAAAGTAACCACAATTACCAGTAACAGATAAAACAATCAAGGATCACAAAAGTAACCACGATTACCAGTAACAGATAAAACAATCAAGGATCACAAAAGTAACAACGATTACCAGTAACAGATAAAACAATCACACCACAACTTTAAACAATCCAAATAACAATGCCCTGACAACCATCTACTGACAGAAACAACAAGGGCCTATTGCCAATCCTTTAACTCTCTTCCTGCCTGAATCAACAGATAAATCTTGATGATAATGTTGACAGTGCAGGACATCTACAACAGATGCATGCACAGTTTGTGACACTGTGTTGGTTTTCTGCAAACAACTGCTTGCAGAAGATGAGACAGGTATACACATTACTACTTACCTAAAACAGCCATGCCAGATGCTGGGGAACAAGTGAAAACAATTCACATTTCAAATTAACAAGTCAAATTATTTGTCTAAATATACATCAATTTTGTTTGCAATATGTTAAAGATTATAATCAATATTTCATATTTGTAGGTATACATAATAAATACATCAGTTGGTGTCTGTGGCTTAGGCGTTGCAAATGCCTGGTTCGATCCCAGCTGTAGACGATTTGTCTTGCAGCATTGATTTCGAGAGTGGCACCAAGAGCTGACCATTTAGAAAGCAATGGCAAACTATTGAACGTAAAATTTGCCTAGAAAAACCACAACAGCCACACAATGCTGGGGTTGGTTCTGCAATGTTCCGTAAAGGATATGCAACATACTTTTTTTTTAACATTACATCAGGTTTGTAATTAAATAAATCAGCCAAACAGGATAACTCTTACTATCCCTATTCAACATATTTGCACAAAACATAATGGGAAATGTCACAACTGATCAGACTTGTGACAGTTATGATCCGCTCACAACTGGCTGCAAACCAAACCTGTACGAAACTTCGCTGTGCAGATGACTAAAACCCCCTTTCAAAACAATGTAAAGGGAATAGAACAATTAATCATATCTGTCTAAAAACACAGTGAAGATCAAAACCCAATTATAACAATTAATGACGAAGAAAACCACGGAAAGGAGATGTCTGAGAAGGGCTGTAGGAGTGACCATAAGAGATAAGATCAGGAATGAGATCATAAGAGAACAAGTCGGCACAGAACCAATTCTGGATTACATACAAAGACAGCAAGTGAAATGGTTTGCCCACTTAGAGAGAATGCCTTGTGACACCATACCATACAAAGCATACATGGAAAGAGAAGAAGGACGTAGAGCACGGGGTAGACCAAGAACAAGATGGAAGGATAACATCAGAGTACCTCTAAAACAGCACGATGTGCCTATGGTCGAGGCAGTCAGAAGAGCTAGAAACAGAACCTTATATCTCCCTCGACACCCACAGCGGTAAAAAGAGGAAGTGAAGAAGAAGAAGAATGACAAAGAAATTGAAAATGTCACAAACTTTGAATATCTAGGCTCCATAATAAACATCAATGGAGACTCTTTGAAAGTAGTCAAAACAAGGAGATGGCAATAGCAATACAAAGATTAAACAGCATTAAAAGTCTATGGATAAGCACCAGCAAGGAAATCAAAGTTAAAACTTTGAGAGAATGCACCTTCTCTCTTGCAACACATGGATGGGAGTAGTGGACTATCTGCCAGTCCTTAAAGAAAAAAATAGGAGCTTTTGAGCTAAAATGCTATAGAAAGACTCTTAGAATACCACAGACCAAGAAGAAAGGAAATATCGACATTCTAAAAGATCTTAACATCAAGGAAGACTGGTTAATAAACAGCATCTTATCTCAGAAGCTGAAATATTTTGGTCATTTCAGACACCGTGGCGGACTGGAAAAATAACAGCAGAAGAAGGCAAGATACCAGGAAGGAGGGGCAGGGACTGACCAAAATGAAGATGGGCATAGGATTGATGTGCCTTCATAAATAAGAAAATGCATGAGGTGGTGAAAGACCAAGCTTCTTTAGGCAGATGACAGAGACATTCTGCAAAGGATCTACTACATCAGGGCTATTCAAACTGGCAGCCCACAGGCCAGTCTGGTCTGGTAGTCTTAGTTTCAGCTTCATAGCAAACGGGTCACCCCATCTTTGCTCCGCTCCTGTGCCAACGAAAAACACACAGAATGTTTATCACAGTATTACAATTGCAGTTCATTATTGATGGTAGCAGAAGTCGCCAACAGATCAGCAGTTGCCCACGCGATCAATTTAAATCACATACGGGCACCACAACACTGCACGACAGGCATCACAGGCCAGATCTGACCTGCAAGTGGCCAACTGATCATTGCCATTCGTGTATATATTAATGATTTTCCTGAGCTTGGGCTCAGCCCTCTGGCCCTTTAGGATCCTGGTTTTCAAAATGTCAGACCCAGAGTAAACTTAGCTGAATAGCTCTGTGCTCACATGGTGATTCAAGGTATTTCTTACTTCATACATATTTCATTATTTTCATAGTTAACTAAAACAACTAAACATTAAAACAGCCATGAAAATGTAGCCTCTGTGATAGATATGATTTTGTTACAGTCTGTTGTACTGCCAAGTGCTGAGTCTACATCAGATGACACAGCTATCATCTTCTGATTCTTACCTTTCTTCTTTAAAAAGGCCGGTGGTTCCTTGGAATACGTGAAGTTGGCTGAAAAAAAAAAAAAAACTGTTCATATGTGTTACAAGAATATATGGGTGTGTGTGTGTTTATTTGCTATGTGTATATGTTTTTATACCTGTGTGATTTTATTAACAAAGATGTAATGAGAATATGTAGTGTAAATAGATACATATTCAAGACTACTCCTTTCCCCCACCTCCCCTCCTTCTCATTCTCTACTTAACAAACACCCACCCTTCCCCTTCCACGCACACCCATAGGAATATAGATGCACACACACATATGAAACAAATCTTGCATGGTTTTACCTGGAAAGAGAGGAGAAAGTAGCCAGGAGAGACAAATCAATACTGCTGGGTATTAAACCGACTAAGAGTTAAGATTGCCACCACCATGATATTCTACAGTGATCATATAGCATCTATGTTTGTAGGTTACATATTCAATACTGCACTTCAGAAAAAGTGTCTGTGAATGCTGATGCAATTTCTCAAGGAGCAACGCACTCTAGTCCCTAAGAATTACAAATGTACAGGTTATGAGAAGGCGATTTAAGAGGTGCAGTATGTAAATATGTGATGTAGACATAAGTTTTGTAACAACATAAATATACAAGAATGTGTAGAATAAAGAACTAAAAATTCACTTGTTATAATCAAAGGTCTCAAATGAAGCACTCACTCCACTCCACACGCACGCACGTGCACACACAGAACAAGAGAGGGGAAGAGAGAGAGGGTGCCAGACTAATCAATGGTCAAACTCACGTGGTCTGTGAAAATGTGAACCACTCAGTGACTTGTTCTTATCTTGCGGCTTCAGGCTGGCTCCTTTAATGTAACCTGGCTTCTCCATGCCCAAGTAACTGACATTGTAGAAACGTCCAAAGTTGGGTTCAGATCTCCGAGAGTCCAGACTATCCTGTGTTTTGAAAAGTAAATGTGTTATGCCACTGGCACCAGGTGAGAAACCTGTTTGTTATTCTGATGTGTACATGCTCGTGTCACTAAAGTATGTTTGTTCATGTCTGCTGGGGATGGTGGGTTTTAAACCACTGGCAGCATTAGATTTAACTAAACAACTGTAAGACCATCAAAACACAATTTGTAACATGTGATTTAACTAAAGAACTGTCAGGCTATCAAAACAATCTAATTTTAAGTCAGTTATCTCCCCCAAATCTTTCCTAACAATAATATAATTTTTGGGTTGAAAACCTATACACGCACAATTGTGAGCACAAACAAACATTCAGATATTCAATTCATAATTTTAGCTGAATTAAATTCTTCTCATTAACTGATTTCTTAAAATACTTTATCTGAATTGTGAAAAATACATCATTTTAATGAGCAAATTCTACAGTGATTATATCTAGAGACAGCTACCCAGTTGTACGCAACAGACAGGAGTGGACAGCTGAGTATATCTGCATCTGTCAAGGGTATCCAGTGAAAAGACTTACAGGACCAAATGAAAGACAAATACATGGTCCAACAATCAAGTAATGAGACTAATTCCATAAAAATTAAAATAATCAACAGTTAAAGATATAACCTGCATCTGATTCAAAGTAAACCCCTTGTGCATTGATACTGCAAGTGGCATGATCTAACAAACACTGGAATAATCTCTGTAGTTCTTTTGTTGTTATGGCCCTTAAAGTCGATGTTACTGCCCTTTGGATGTCATCAATATCGTGAAAGAAGCATCAATTTCATCTGCCATCATCCTCAGTCAAACAATGATCTTCTTGTATCCGTTCTCTTACTTTTGCAATGTGTTCATCATTACGTACAGAAACTGGGCATCCAGGTCTAGTTGCATTAGTAATAATCTCTGCACCACTTTTGAATCGTGAAAACCACCTGAAAATCTGTGCACAAGATAAACAATTAATGATTTTGTAACAAGCACATCTAACTAGGTCAATAAAATGGCAGCTTGTTTGTTGTCTGCTTATCAGGCGGTGGTGCAAAGTTGCCAGATTACAGATGACAGTGGCCTCTTTGGATTCCATGCTTTGTTTCCTATATGATATTTTTTGTCTTGGCCATAATAAAATCAGCAATCTCATTACTTAATTGTTGGACCTTGTATGGAAATGGATTTGAACAAGCAAGAAATTTAGCAGCAACACAAAAATAAAGAAAAAATGAAAGAAATGTTTACATGTATGTATATGTGATGACAACTGGAAAAGAGAGTAAGTAATGAGATGTTTTTAAAGAAGTGGATTATGTCCCGCAAGACAACATCCGATGACAACTAAAGACAAATTCATGCCAGCAATAAAAGTAATTATCTTTTTGAAGATATCCCGTAATCATATGCAGTCAAAGATCACTAACAATACTAGGCTGGGACAGATGCAAATTTATACAAATATAATAATATATCTGTGATTAATGGCAAGAAAATTGAAATAAAATAAGAACTGCAGGAACTAATTACAATACATACAAAGATTTCACAATAGCAAAGAACAACAATAAAATGAATATACTTCAACTAAGGGTTTTTCTAATACAATAATGACTTATCATAAAAACTAGAAACAATAAAGTATAACAAATATACAAATGAAAGACACTGGACAAAGCCAAGAAAACCTTTAGAAAATTATATAAGACAACAACAGCATTACAATTAACAGCACACTAAAAGGGAATTTGTTTTGATAACTATATTTTTCTTTTAGTCAGTCACGCATACATTTATGGACATCATGCTGAGTTTAATGAGCAATTTCATTTCTAGAAAAACCATATTACAGCAGCTATAATTTATGTTACATATTTCTTAAATTCCCATCTCCCCCATCCTCAGTTTGTGCAAACACTTTACCAAACAGTACTGTCCTGTTTCTGTAAACACTTTACCAAACAGTACTGTCCCTGTTTCTGTAAACACTTTACCAAACAGTACTGTCCTGTTTCTGTAAACACTTTATCAAACAGTACTGTCCTGTTTCTGCAATTACTTTACCAAACAGTACTGTCCTGTTTCTGTAAACACTTTACCAAACAGTACTGTCCTCTTTCTGCAAACACTTTACCAAACAGTACTGTCCCTGTTTCTGTAAACACTTTACCAAACAGTACTGTCCTGTTTCTGTAAACACTTTATCAAACAGTACTGTCCTGTTTCTGCAATTACTTTACCAAACAGTACTGTCCTGTTCTGTAAACACTTTACCAAACAGTACTGTCCTCTTTCTGCAAACACTTTACCAAACAGTACTGTCCTGTCAATAGCAATAGATTCCCCATTCCTTGACCCAGAATAAATCGTCCGCTGACTTATGAAAGTAGTTTTCTAAGAATTACTGTCATCTTTCTGCCATGACCGTTTTTTATTTCATTATCCTTAAGAAACATGCTATCACCAGCCAGCAGCATCCTCACACCAAACAGAACCAGCTAGGCATACAGACCAAGGAAAACACTGACAAGATAAAACAATGATACAATGTACCAGAAATGAAAGATTACATTCAGGAGACAGTGTGCTGGTGCATGCATGCACATTTGTGGTTTGCATTCAAGCATGTGTTACAGAGATCTTGAATTGCTGACAGAGAGAGAGAGAGAGAGAGAGAGAGAGAGAGAGAGAGAGAGAGAGAGAGAGAGAGAGAGAGAGAGAGAGAGAGAGAGAGAGAGAGACAGACAGACAGACAGACAGACAGACAGACAGACAGACAGACAGACAGACAGACAGACAGACAGACAGACAGACAGACAGACAGACAGAGGAGGGAAGAATATGAACAGCTCCATCACTGAATAATTCTACAATAGCCTAGCCCAAGAACCAAACTTGTTACCTCCTAAAATGTACAACATGGGGTAGAAGTAAAACCATGATGAAAATAAAAAGATTTAAAAAAAAAAAGAAAGAAAAAATATGTAGCACACATTTTTAACAACCTGGAGCTGTCAAGGTACTATGTAGTGTTTACAACTATACAGTATAATAAAAACAATGTATGGATAACTTCAGTCAGATGACAAATTGGTTGTCTTCTTCTTTTACTGTTGTCAGATGAAAGTAATAATTTGGTTACTATAGAGCTGTCTGAGATGGATGATACAATTATTCGAAAAACTACATAATATAATGATAATCTGAAAACAGGACTGTCATTCATGTTGGAATACCCCCGTGTGGGTTCCGGGGCCCCATTGTGGGGAAAACAAGAATAGACCCACTGCCTCCCCAAAAGCATGTCGTAAGAGTCGACTAATTGGGAAGCTTCCTTTGAAGTCGGAGTGCATCTGCCGGAGAGGCAAGGAACCAACAGTCTGTATTCAAGAGAATGAGATCTGTAAAACTGATGCACACGCAACACTCAGGTTCTGGAGCAGGACTGCAGTTCAGTAGTGGACGAGCAACCAGAACCTTCCGCCAGAGTTTACAGCTGGTGAACGTGAAGAAGTGTAGAAGATGTTGGAATAATGTCACAGCTCATCAACATCTGAAGCAGCATGCATGTCCTAGATATATCATCTAACATCTCATGACAATTGTAGATTTCTGCCCACTCCCTTTCATGGCTATATATTGTCAATGCCAAAATGAAGCACAGACAGGTCAGTGAGTATCTAAAGTCAATGTTGGCAGATCCTGCAACACTGTTCTGTAATCATACACAATCTCCAATGTGTTTTTCTCCTGTCATTGGGAGGGGGGGGGGGGGGGAATGAGTCTGTATATTACATATACTACTTGCTGCATTATTAGTGAGAGAGGGAGGATGCCAGAAGGTATAATGAAAGTACTAATGGTGATGTTTATTTCAGCTGCGTCCAAGCGCCACACTTGTTTTTATGTTTCAATGTAGATCTATTCAATTTCATCTACACTATTTTCTAGCCATTCTTGCTCTGACATGGCAAAGAATAACATTTTTTCATTTACCTAACATGTATAGATGCTGTGAAAACCAGGAACAGATTAAATAAATACAATAAACAAACGACTAAGCAGCTGAAAATGCTGCAGTTAACTGAAAACGAATTGAAAGTCAATGTGTTAATGTCAAGATGTAAATGGCTGTTGCTAGCTACTACATTTTTTTCATTAAAAAAAAGCATCCAACCTGTCAATAAATGTGACAGTAAACAATGACTTTCGCTCACATTTACACAGCTTACAGCTGCACACAAAAAAGAACAGTGACACACTTAAATATAACACGATAAAAACAGCAATACATTAAAATCTTCAAATCAAAAAGACAACAGTGCACAAGCATGTAATATTAGAGAAAGGGAAACAAACATGAAACAAGGTCAGAAAGTTTAAATGTGGGAACAAAGTGCCTTGAGCCTCGCCCATGAGGACACATAAGCTTTCTCATAAGTGGGAGGGTGCTAGTGTGCTAGCCGTAACTTGGACCATGTCTCAAATGTTATATCAATTACAGGGGGTGGAGAGAAGACACACAAGGGACAGCACTTATTTCAGAAATAACCACTGATGAAGCATCTAAATATGTGAACAACCAAACACAAGTGCCTCCCAAACAAACCTGTTTACTGCTGCTAGAAGACCAGGGAAAGCACATGCCCGTAAGTGAGTGCATTAAGCACTGCAGGTTAGGAAAGAAGCACATTCATGATTATCTTCATTTTTCCTTTGATAATTTCTGAGACAGTAAACAACTACATTATCAGAGACAAGTAATTATTGCCATATTTTGACTCACACATTTATAATTGTATCAATGGTAGCAAATCACATTTTCTCTCTCATGTAAATGGCTGCATTAATGGTAGCTATATACATTCTCTATCACATATGAATGATTGTAGCAAACAAATTTGTCTCCCTCCCACATATAAATGATTCTATCAAATATAGTGAGACTTATTTTCTCCTATTTATGAATAATTGCATCAACAGGATATAATTATATTTTCTACCACACATGAACAATTGGAATAACAGAAACTTGCTTGTGCTCTCAAATGTTGTATAAATGCATTTTTTTTTTTTACCCACATATGAATAGTTATATAAATGGTAGCCCTTCACTTTTCTATTACACATAATGGTTGCTGTGGGTAGCTAGTTCTATTTATTAGTAGTTGATTTCTCTCATTATTGAACACAAAAATGCAATATGTTTTACAAACACACACAACTCTGCACTACCAGTAAAGAAAAACATGCAATGATAATGGTAAACCAGCTAAAATAACTAGCCTGACTATCTTGAAAATCTTTAAATGCAAAACAACAGCTCTGTTTAGTCAATCGTGTCTAGCAGGCCGAATGCTTTATTAAGCAGGTTAAAAAAAAAAGCCATAATACACAACAATGAACAATAACTCTTTATAAATGCTTTATCAACAGAGAGAGGATTATTTATTTCCAACTAGTAGTGACACTGTGGTCCCCCGGCCTTACAAACATGAGTAGCAGACTCCTGTCTAAATGTTTCAGAATTGTCTAGGAAAGACATGTGATGAGCAACACAACTTTTTAAATCATAGCCTAGAACAGTGAAGGTCTAACATTTGACACATCAGTGACAACTCGATTTATCTTTACCTTAACATAACACCTAGTATTATATTTGCTGTTCTATTCAATTTAACTGTGCCACTATTCCCATTTCACTGTTATGTATTTATTTACCAATGCGCACACATGTGCAACAGAAGTAAATATGAAATCAAATTATGTGCTCCCTGTGTGGGTTCAGGGGCTCTATTGAGGGGTAAAGAATAAACCCACTGCCTACTCAAAAGCATGTCGTAAGAGTCAACTCATTGGGAGCTTCCTTCACAGTCAATTGCATCTGCCTGAGAGGCAAGGAACCAGCAGTCTGCATACAAATGAGTCAGATCTGTACAACAGATGCACACGCAACACTCAGGTTCTGGAACAGACTGCAGTCCAGAAGTGGATGAATAACCATAACTTTCCGCCAGAGTTTACAGCTGGTGAACGCGAGGAAGAAGAAGAACTTATGTGCTTGGTTATAGGTGAGATTACAACAGATTGACTGTTTACTAATTATTTGTCTTACATGGCTGGACACGAATTCTTTCTCAGTGACTCAATGGGTATACATACTCATGAAGACAGAGATAGGCAAGGTCTGAAGACAGTGTTTGCAGTCTCTGAATCAGTCAGGGTTGACACATACCAGTTTCATATTTGTGCATGGGCACACAGAAGTGCAAGGAAATTAGCAAATTGATAGGCTTGCTGGTAAAGCTACTTAGGAGGGCGGACGAGCCATGGACCAAGCAGATATTGTGAACACTCTACGAGAAGAAAGACATTTATGAGAGACAAGTGATGACTGTAAATCTGCAGCCGTGACCAGACTGCAAGAACAACATGTTAAAAGAGGTGTGGCCAGACTATGCATGAAGCCAAAGAAGAATAAGAAACCAACACAGAACTGGTGTTGTCACACACTGTGGGATTTATGAAGGAGGGGATCCGAGCACTTAGTTACTGAATGGCTCAAGGTGCAATGAAGATAATCTGCTGACTAACTAATTAACTAACTAACTATATGCCTGACAGGCACTCAATGCTGAGAGGAAAGACAAAATGCACACATGATCAAACTAAAATTAGCACCATTAGTACTATAACTCTCTGCTGGTTTCTGAAGATGAGGACACAGCATTCATGAGAATGCTCATGTTTTATGATGTCGGTTCTTAACTTTCAACTCTTCTTGTGTTGGAGGACAAAATGTATGGTGAGGAAACTGTCACATACTGAAACAGTTTATATTCATTTGTGCTTATCTATTATGTGAGAGAACATGGATCTGTACAGATCCTAATCAACAATTACTGAAAGTCTTCCTCTACTTCTTCTTTGCGTTCACTCTGGCAGAAAGTTGTTGTTGTTCATCCACCTCTGGACTTTTATCAGAACCTGAATGTTGCGTGAACATCCGTTTTACAGATCCTACTTATTTGTAAGCAGATTGCTGGTTCCTTGCCTCTCAGGCAGATGCACTCTGACTTCAAAGAAAGCCCAGTTAGTCTACTCTTATGACATGCTTGTCGGGGAGGCAGTGACTTTCACTGTAAATTAATTTAAATATATTTGAAACATTTTACAACTTTCAAAAGTGATTTATAATGGTAGACTATTGCAGCTTTCAATCAGTGTCAGTTGGGCATTAATCCCATCAAAGTCAGCTAAAAGGTTGTTTTTTTTTAAATGTTGAAAGAGAAAGAAAGAAAAAAGTAGCAATAAATAATAAATATTAGAAACACAATCAAATTTATTATGCTAGTAACCTACGTCAAGCAAATATGTGTGATAACATTATTCATCAATAAAAAGGTTTTTGTGTGCTTGTTTTGTTCAGATGAATGGTGTGAAGCGGGGGTGGATTCTTTTAGTGACAATGTTTGAGATAATTTATATGAGGCTGAAGAAACCATTCACACAGTCATTGCTTTCTGACTTTTTTTCTCTTTTTAAAAATGGATTAATTGCAAGATAATGTTTCAAAGTCCTCAATATGTGTGGTTCATGCAAGATTTCTAGAATAATTTTTCTGAGAATCTATATTTCTGGAGAAAAAAAAATTAGCATAAAATATTCAAAAACAGTTAAAAGATATTTGCATCATTGATTGCTCTCTAATTTGGTATAGATGTTTACTCATCTTTGGGTGTAATATTAGAGCAAAAATAAATTATGGATTCACAGGTTTAATTTAGTGTGTGTGCACGTGTGTGTGTGGGTGTTTGTGCGTGTGTTTTACTTGACTTATCTCTAGGTGCAAAATGTTAAAGATAAATAATGAACTCATACTATGAAATCTTTGCTAGTGCTGTGAGATAAACCCTCAATGGAGAAGTGACATGAAGGAGCAGGTCGCAGGACTGATAGCTTCACAATGTAATAAAAATTATCCTTAATAAATCAACAGGGATACTGTTACCTGATTATACATATTCTCAGTAATCTACTTTCAAAGTATAAAGAATGTGAAAGATCCTGACCCACAGTGCCATCCAGTTATGTTGATATTTATTTTTGTCTGTACACCTTCCAACTTCACTGCATAACATATAATACATTCCACAGAGCATATTCAACAACCCCATATCTGCTCAACCCAAGCTTGGGGTTGATGTCCTTTTGTTACAGTTGCTTTTTCTGATTACTTCTGATAAAATCCTAAGCATATCTGTTTTCCCCTCTAACATCTTTATATCTAACTGTCTGTTATCTTACATGTTCTTTGAAGTATTTAGCCTAGGATGCCTGTATCACTTTTCTGTATAAATGCTGCACAAAGATCAACACTAATAGAGCATGTATAGTATAAACAATTGAAAATCATAATGCAGTTACATGATGGATACAAATAAGGAAGGCTCTGGGATTTCAGAAGTGATTAACAAAAGATAATATTTTAGAAACAAAGAGATAATTCTGTTCAGAAATCAAAACAACATTATCTCATTCAACACAACACTACCTCTACAAAAAATACGCCAAAAATTGAGCGTGGACAGCTAAGTCATATTTATTATTATATGAGAAAAATGAAAGCCACAGTAGCACTGGCACTGGACCCATGCCTGTCAGCTCATCAGTCTTGGCTTCTGAGCTCCCAGGTTGACCCAACCTGAAAATGGTGTCAGGAAGTGTCCTGAGAAGTAAAGGCAGTTGGTATTCTTCTTCTTTCGTTCACATGAAATAAATTATCGATATCTGCAATGCTGTCTCTAGTATGAATTTCACTGTCTTTTGTAATTCCCTAAGCGGCCTGTAAAGTTTGACTTCCACAAGTGTCTCTTTTGACCAGAAGTTTTGCCTGGAAGCGTTGAATCTGAGACAGTCTTGGAGGATGTGATCTGTTGTCTCAGGTGCCAGTCCACAGGTACACATGGCTGACTGGCCAATTTTAAATTTGTTGTACATGTGGCAGCAAAGTTGATTGTGCCCTGTTCTAAAGCGAAGGATAATGACTCGCTCTGGTCTGTCCATAATATGGTAATCGTCTTGTGCCAGTTTCAGTGGCAGTTTGATTGATTTGATCATTCTCTTCTTCTGCTGATAAGAGACTAGTATGTTGGGTTGTTTTTCAGTTGCACCTTCCTTAGCTAGTTTATCAGCTCTTTCGTTTCCGGGAAGTCCACAGTGGGAAGGTATCCACTGCATTACTAATTTACAACAGTTGCCTAGTTCAGATAATAGTGTCCGTATGCTTGGTAATTTTCCAGACTGGAGTGCCTGAAGTACGGCTTTTGCATCTGTCAGGAATACCATCGGTTGTGAAAAATACCAATACCCTGTATTTAGTAGTTTCTCTACCGCTATCTTGATGGCTTGAACTTCTACATCATAGTTGTGACAGTGCTTTCCTGTTGGTATTTTGGCTGTATCCCTGGTATTATTAGGATACTCAATGTACACTCCTGCCCCTCTGTTTCTGACTGCACTTTCTGCTGACCCATCTGTGTAAACACGGACCCAAAGATTCTGCGGGTATTCATCATCAAGTAGACTGAGGGTGGCTGTTTTGCGCTGCACACTGTTTTGTTCTTCCTTGTCAAATACTCCTTTCACTTCGGTCTTGATGTGTATTGGAAACTTATTGTCCTCTCTCCAGTGGGTCTTTTCTGGGACAGCATTTAAGGATCTATCAGTTGCAGGCTAATCAGTGGTTTGTCTGCAGAGCCGTTTGGCCTGTGATGTTGATAATATCATTCACAGAGTACTCACTGATCCATGAAAGTCTGGGTCCAACACCACATGCCTGATGCACAATGGTGTTTAAAGGGTCTTCACTGTCTTGTTCAAGGCTAGCAGGAAAATTAGTTTATAATGCTTCAAAGGCTACAGGACATTCAGTGAGAAGAACTAAAGGTTAAAGGTTAAAGTTGAGAATATTGTGTTCATTGTACTGGGTTTTATTCCATATGGCTCAGTCTCTCTCTGCAGAAGGGATAGCCACCTACTAAGAACATTGCACAAAGCATGAACTCCATAGCTCTGATGACAAACCCCAGGTATTGTACATGTGAACTGAACAGCACAGCAGTGAAATGAACACATGACCTTCAGAGCATGAAGCACATGACTTGACCACTTTGCCATGGAGAGCCCTTCAACTGAGAAGAATAGTATTGGTTTAGTATTGAAAAGAAGAAAATTCAGAACAAGCATGTTTGGAAGCAACTAAATGAACTGTTAAATGCTCTAGCTATATCAAGCTGTGCTTCACAGCTACTACTGATGGGAAGTCTACAAGTGACCAAAGCACATACCGCTGACCGATTATGAAAGTGCTTGCTGTTGTTTGTGGAGATGGAGTTCAGAGACAATGACAGACTGGGCAGCTAGCATGAAAGACAGCATGCATTTCACAATGATAGTATAAATACCTACACCAACACAAATAAATCATTTGATGCACAGGAAAATTACTGAAGAAGAACATGAACAAAGTAAGCCTAACATAGATCTGACATAATGCCGAAAGTTAGTTACAATAACTTCCTACTCTTTGTGAAATGATTGATTGGAATTCACAGACAAACAGTCTGTATGACAAATCGCTAAAGGATGCTGATTCAACTATATAAATTGCTGTCTATGCTGATACACAATGGATTATTATGGATATCTGAAAAGTATACCCTCAACAAGATAGTCTGTGCAAAGCTAATGACAACTTATACAATTACACAATGCAAATAAAAGGATGCTTACAAATCTTCAAGCGCTGATTTAAGCAAGATGCTTCAACAACATTAACACAGCTATTGAACGACACATTCACATGCAGCTTTCAGTATCCCAGGGCCCACAACCAATCAGCATTTATATAAAGCCATCCATCTATGATCGGCACTAACTAGACATGGACAGCCATCATTACTGTCATGCTAATCAGCTGCCAGCCATTCAATTCCATAACATATAATGAGCTTTACAGCCATTCATGAAATGCAATCAGAATTTAGACAAGCAGTTCTCACATTTTTATTTTCTTATAAACCTGTACAGTCTTACAAATTACTGAGCGCTATGAACTCAAAGACCCATTTGGCTCATGGACTACCTTTTAAGAAACACTACTTTAGTGTGACAGTGAGAATGCCGTAAGACTGCAAAAGAAATGATTATAAATAGTTTACATAAAATTTATTAAACAAAAATGGGATATAAAGTGACTGAGGAAGCCAGAACACCCGAATAAAACAGATAATGTTGAGGGAAGCCGAAGGTGCTAGACTGGATTCGATCCATAATATCAAAGGGATTGCACAGGACAGAATGGAATGGAAGAATAGACTGTGAGCTCTATGTGAGATATAATGGCACAAGCGGACAATGATGATGATATATCTCTGCCTTACCCTGAAGTGTAGCTCAAGCAGGTTACATACACAAGTAAATGTCAGGTCACAAGTCACTTATTCCTATCTACCAATGCTCAGTGGTTCTCACTGTCCTCATAACTGACTGTGTTACATTAACCAAAGAAACAACATTATCACTGACATATGATGTACATCTCTGTGTAAATTTTTTATGTACAAAATAGTTCTACTTCCTTAGAAAAACATTTATCTTCTCATGTACAACAAATACTTCAAAGGCAAACAAACATCACCACGCCCACTGTCCTGTAACAATGAATTCTAAGTGAGACATGCAGGTTCTTCTGTACTGCTGATTACATCTACATTCCTGTACAAAACAGTTCTTTTTACAAACATCTACACTCTTGTGTACAACAAAGTTCTAATTTCATACATATCATCTACATGCTTGTGTATATTTTACACACTCACATCATATAAATATCTACACTCGTGTGCACAACAGTTCTTCTGGTTTCCTGCATATAATCAATGGGTAGGTGGCTTCTATAGCAATGTGGTCAAGCAGTTTGCCTCATGCACTGAAGGTTTTGGGTTTGCTGCACTGACTGCATCGTTGGATTCACGAGTTAGATATTCACACTGATCTGTGGGAATTATCGCTAGTGCTACAGAGTTTGTCCTTTGTGCAACGGTTAGCCAGTCTGCAGCAAGAGACTGAGCCGTATCGGATCAAACCTGATACAGTGACGTCGTCCCTATCGACTTTAACATGGAGATGCAAAATGTATATGACCGCCAGTATCTTCCCAGGTAATTTACCAAAAGTAATTTCCTTTGTTAAGGCCCAAACTAATATTTTTAGATATATTCATAAACACAAAGAGGCAGCAATTATGGACGAGCAAAAGGCCAACAATGAATGACTCAACGTTTATTATGACAAGCACAGCATACCTGGTGGTCACTGGGTGAAAATGTTTCGTCATCACTCTGGTCTGTACCAGAATCTGGACCTGCCAGAAGAAATACACCAGCAACGGAATCAATACAGGTGAACCAACAATGGAATCAAATAACGTCAACTGAATAAGAAGAATGACTTAGGGAGAGCAAAAAGTTTGATGTGTTTAGTTTTACTGACTACATATTGTTTAAGCAGAAATCACTAGTTAACAAATCGGGTATATATGGTGCTTTATTTTTCATTCGTTCTGTAGCCCAACAACCCATAATAAACTACAAATATAGAAGTGGAAAAAGGTGTAGTAATGAATTAATGCGATCAAGCATTGTGTGGACCAAATACATGAAGCAAACACGTTGGCTTGTCAGGTAGGACACGGGCAAAAAAACATAGGTGAGGTACGCACATCTCAAGACTCTTGACACGCTGTGCTTTCTGTCACCAAGATCCAGTTATCTGCACTGCTGCAACTTAGTCAGCCAATCATACATGACCCCATTTTTTTCCGGGAACCACACCATCAAGTCCCACTCTCAAAATAGCCAAGCAAAATAATAACTGACAAGCGCACTTATGAATGAACGCTACGGTGACTGTATACAAAACAGCATACAGCTGTCAGGTGTACGTAAAGGGGGGGGGGTGGGGGGTATACTTGACAAGAGAGGCCGCGCCACATGGGTGTATGTGGAACATGTAAACAGACAGGCAACCAATAATAATATAAGCCACCACAACCACTGCATCAAAACATCTTCAATCGTCAACGTCTGCTCTAATCAACATGAAGCCGCCATCATGTACGTGTCAGGGAATTCAGTACTACCCCACACCTGAACACGCTGCTGCACATGAGACAACTCCCCACAACACTGTGTCCCCCCAGAGTTGACCTAGGGTGACTAATACATGAAACACTAGATGACTAATGCTTTAAAAACTAACTACTTGAAACATCTGCAGGAAAACATTAGCTACCGTTACAGATTCGCACAAGTCAGGCTGGGGTCGTTGATGCATGAAAACACAATTAAAATATTTATAAGGGTTTTGAAATGTACCTTTTAAACAGATGCACTTGCCAATCCCGGGGTGACTGGTGAAAATAAGGAAGGTAAGACACATCCACCAAAATGAACATCACAGATCTGCGCACAGGAAAACGCTGCCCACCCCTTATACACGTTTTAGGGCAACAATTTTGTGTTACATATTGGGCTAAACGCCCCCACCCAATAATTGTGTGAGATAAGACCTCCCTTCAGAAACTGCACAGAAATTATCTTTACAAGTATCGCTGTATACATTTCACATTATTTGAAGTATATGATTTTATATATTTGTCATTCAACACATTATATGATTGATCTGCTGAATGACCATGTTTTCATACACACACGCACACACTTGAAACAATATGAGGCAACAAATAACGAGAATTAATATACATAGTTAAAGAGGGCTTCTAAGTTCCCCTACACAATTACTGAGAGGGTGGGCTGCTCTGCCCCATCCCCCTAAAATATGGGGCGGGGTGCTCAAGGGGTGGTGGGCTGGAAGGTTGCGGCGCCTGTGCCGTTAAGGGTACTATACACATAAATATGAAAACATAACAAATATGATCCTTTTTTTTTTATCATCAATAAAACTCGGCACCTCGGAAGTCTATTCGCAAAGCCTACCCCAGACGCAGATACTGTCTTTAGCGGTACAGATATAATCCTGCGCTAACAATGCCAACGATAGTAAGATTACCAGGAGACAGACGATTACCTACATGAGAACAAAACAGTTTTAGCACTTTTTTTTAAACCACAAAGTGTTAATTTCATGAATAAGATATGTGAAGTGCAACTGTTTTGTTTAATGGCTGTTGAGAAATGTAAAAAAAAATTGTTTAACACACAAAGTTTTTGGCAATGTGATGTATGAAAACAACCAGGAAGATTTGGAGTGTCTGAGAGAGAGAGAGAGAGGTCGACGGAATGAGAAAATGCTCGATGATTTGGCAAATTAGCACAGAAGAACATTAGCGATCGAATCGGTTAAAAACACAGCTGACATTTTTTTTTTTTTTTTGCAGAGAAAAATGATGGCCCGCGCAACCTGGCAAGATCAAAGATAGTGATTGCATATGAACAGGCCACCGACTTAATGATCGCACAACGGACAAGACAGAGAGGATGGCATCTAGAGTCTAGACTCTATATATGGCTTAAAGTTCAGTCTGTTTGTTCCCACGCGAAAGCTACTTTTTAAAAACCGGTACATGTCACGGCATCTACAGTACAGAGAAATGAAACTGGTAGTTTTATCAAATGTGTCTATGCATAATGGAATAAACCGTATTGACAGGCAGTAATTTCGGTGCAACAAGTGCAGTATAGACTGACAGGCGGTGATCACGGCATAAACTCTACATTTACAGGCGGTGATCACGGCATAAACCCTACATTTACAGGCGGTGATCACGGCATAAACCCTACATTTACAGGCGGTGATCACAGCATAAACCCTACATTTACAGGCGGTGATCACAGCATAAACCCTACATTTACAGGCGGTGATCACGGCATAAACCCTACATTTACAGGCGGTGATCACGGCATAAACCCTACATTTACAGGCGGTGATCACAGCATAAACCCTACATTTACAGGCGGTGATCACGGCATAAACCCTACATTTACAGGCGGTGATCACAGCATAAACCCTACATTTACAGGCGGTGATCACGGCATAAACCCTACATTTACAGGCGGTGATCACGGCATAAACCCTACATTTACAGGCGGTGATCACAGCATAAACCCTACATTTACAGGCGGTGATCACGGCATAAACTACATTTACAGGCGGTGATCACAGCATTTACATTTAGGCGGTGATCACAGCATAAACCCTACATTTACAGGCGGTGATCACGGCATAAACCCTACATTTACAGGCGGTGATCACGGCATCACAGGCGGCATCACGGCTAAACTATTTACAGGCGGTGATCACGGCATAAACCCTACATTTACAGGCGGTGATCACGGCATAAACCCTACATTTACAGGCGGTGATCACGGCATAAACCCTACATTTACAGGCGGTGATCACGGCATAAACCCTACATTTACAGGCGGTGATCACGGCATAAACCCTACATTTACAGGCGGTGATCACGGCATAAACCCTACATTTACAGGTGGTGATCACGGCATAAACCCTACATTTACGGTGATCACGGCATAAACTCTACATTTACAGGCGGTGATCACGGCATAAACCCTACATTTACAGGCGGTGATCACGGCATAAACCCTACATTTACAGGCGGTGATCACGGCATAAACCCTACATTTACAGGCGGTGATCACAGCATAAACCCTACATTTACAGGCGGTGATCACGGCATAAACCCTACATTTACAGGCGGTGATCACGGCATAAACCCTACATTTACAGGCGGTGATCACGGCATAAACCCTACATTTACAGGCGGTGATCACGGCATAAACTCTACATTTACAGGCGGTGATCACGGCATAAACCCTACATTTACAGGCGGTGATCACAGCATAAACCCTACATTTACAGGCGGTGATCACGGCATAAACCCTACATTTACAGGCGGTGATCACGGCATAAACCCTACATTTACAGGCGGTGATCACGGCATAAACCCTACATTTACAGGCGGTGATCACATTTACAGGTGGTGATCACCTGTAAATGCCTACATTTACAGGCGAGGTGATCACTGGCATAAACTGTACATTTACAGGCTTCTAAAGGGAAGACATAGCTTCCGTCCAGACATCTCTGATATTACCACCTCGACCATACAGTTCAAGCTATTGTAACATTCCGTGAACTACACTGTGCGCCCCAGTGTTACAATTTTCAATCTGAAAACAGACAATTCCTTGTTGACTAATCCCGTTGTCGCTGTCAGGGACGACAGCCACAGTTGCCTCCCCTGTGCGCGACATAACCCAGTGTACACAACTACAGGCACGCATTTGTTCTAGCCTGCTCTGTTTTCCTGTTTCAACAGACGGTCGTCCTGGTAGTTCTAGCATAGTTGTCGTTTCCAGCCAGTGCTGCTAACAGGAAGACATAGCTTCCGTGCAAGACATCTCTGATATTGCACCACCAAGGCACATACAGTTCAAGCGCTGCAACATTCGTGAAGTACACTGTGCGCCTGGTACAAGTTCAAGCATAAACAAGACAATTCCAGCCAGTGCTGCGTTGTCGCTGTCAGGGACGACTGCCACAGTTGCCTCCGTTCTGCGCGCCACCCAGTGTGCAATCCACGCTTTGTTCTAGCCAGTTGTTTTCCTGCCAGTGCTTCAACAGACGGTCGTCCTGGTAGTTCTAGCATAGTTGTCGTTTCCAGCCAGTGCTGCAACAGTTGGTCGTCCTGGTAGTTCTAGCATAGTTGTCGTTTCCAGCCAGTGCTGCAACAGTCGGTCGTCCTGGTAGTTCTAGCATAGTTGTCGTTTCCAGCCAGTGCTGCAACAGTCGGTCGTTCTGGTAGTTCTAGCATAGTTGTCGTTTCCAGCCAGTGCTGCAACAGTCGGTCGTCCTGGTAGTTCTAGCATAGTTGTCGTTTCCAGCCAGTGCTGCAACAGTCGGTCGTCCTGGTAGTTCTAGCATAGTTGTCGTTTCCAGCCAGTGCTGCAACAGTCGGTCGTCCTGGTAGTTGTAGCATAGTTGTCGTATCCAGAATGCTGCAACAGTCGGTCGTATGGTAGTTCTAGCATAGTTGTCGTTTCCAGCCAGTGCTGCAACAGTCGGTCGTCCTGGTAGTTCTAGCATAGTTGTCGTTTCCAGCCAGTGCTGCAACAGTCGGCCGAGACGTGCAAGCAGCTTCCATTGAACAGTCGAGGCACACACTGAAACCATGTAGTATTGTCATTGTGCAAGGTCAGAAAGTTCCCCGTTCAAACAAACCGAGTTAAATTATATTAAGGCTATCTGCATGATGCCACCGACTGCAGCTAGATTCGCCACTAAAAAAAAAAGAAAAATGGTGTCTAATATTGGGACTAGGAT